CTGGGAAGAAATTCTGGAGGATGCAGAGAAAATTCTTAATAAATAAACTTTAATAACAGTTTCTGGTGTAAAATTTATTTTTATTTTTTTATTTTATGGGAATTTCAGTTTCAAGGTGTTATGAGAAAAAAAAAATTCTAAAATGTTCCGAGAAGAACCTCAAGGATATTGAATTCTTATGACAGTTCCAAAATATTTCTAGGGAAAACTCAAAAAAAATCTGCGGATAATTTCTAATACATCTTGCAGATAGTTCCAAGATAATTTTGAAAAGAATACCGAGAAAATCAAATTTTGAGGGAAATAGCAAAGGGATTTTTAGCAAAATTTGAAGTTCGAGGATAATTAATAGCTCATTCAGTTCTAGGGTTTTCTGAGAAAAAAATCATGAAGAGTTCTAAATATAATTCCAGTGGACTTCTGAGAAGAATTTCAAAAGAGCTCTTAGGAGAGTTCTAAAAAAATCCGAGAAGAACCTCATTTGTTAGGAGTATTTCACGAAAATTCTGCGTATAATTTCTAGTGAATCTTGTGTTCCAAAATAATTCCGAAAAGAATACCGAGAAAATTAAATTTTTAGTGATATTCTAAAGGGATTTTGAGGAAATTTTCAAAGGAGTAACGATAATTATAATTTCTAGCTCATTCCAGGAATATTTTTTTTAGGAAATTCTTCTGAAACTCTAAGGGAATTTAAGTTCGGAGGTGTTATGAGCAAAAGTCAAGAAAAGATTTAAAAATAATTCCAGAGGACTTCTGAGGATGGAATTTTTCGAATCTGTACAAAGTTTAAAGACAACTTTTGGATTCCCTAATTGAAAAGATTAGATTGCCATTGAACCTTGGTCTATTGTTGTCTTACTAAAAATTTGTCCAAGAATCTTCTCCGAAAATTTCAAGTCATTGTAAAAAAGTTACAGCTGTTTATGTGCGTTACAGTAAATTCGGGTTTGTCCTTTATATCATCTTTAAAACATGTTGAATTTTCGGCTTTATTTTCTGTCACCGGTACTAGCGGTACTTTGGGACGGTTCATGATCGACATTATCGATGGGATTAAATTGCCAATTTTCATTGGTTGTCTGAAAGAAGTTTGCCTTGAAGAAGATGAAACACCACCGGAGCAAAAAATAAATAAAATTAGCTAAATTAAACACAACACCATCTCCAACGCACTTTGGAGGTCTCCCCATCCCCAGATTAAATGCACCATAGAAAAAAAATGCCCCTCTTTAACAAGATTCCTGTGCACGCTAGTGGACATGGATCATTCTCATTTGAGAAACGCTTCATATTATTCAATTAATCATTTTGTTAGACCATTTTCCACAGAGATGGCGCTGTTCCGCTGGTAGGAAGTGATAAAAATCCCCATATAGAAATTGAGAGAAGTGGGAATAATTCGCTTTCGGTGCATATTCAGGTCAAAAAAAGTGAACGACAACCTAAAGAAATTAGTCAGGGGCTTTGTCGTTCAGTTTTTTTTCCCGGAAATTAATGCTAAACAAGCTACAATTAAATAAAAATGACTTTTCCCCATACAATTTTACCTGCTTTACTACCAGTCCCCAGAGAGCCAAAAAAAAAAATCAAATTTGAGAGAGAAATTCTCTCTCACGAGCTCAATCTCTCAACATGCCATGTATTTGGTTGACACTCGATTTGTGATTTCCCTTTCACAGATTATAAAATAGAGCACCTGTCACTACAAAACATGTCTGGTACCTCTATATATGCATTTGATTTAACATTTGAAGTCCCTCCTTTTTTACATATTCTGCGCAAAGATACTTAACATACATACATAAAATTCGGCGGGAAATTCTGTGAGGGGTGAGCTATTTTGTGTGCAGAATGTGTAAAAATGAGGAACTTCGAATAATAATCTAAACGCATATATAGAGGTACCAGACATGTTTTGTACTGCAGTGTCCTCTGTGAACAATTATAGGAAAACAGATTGTGTGTAGTTTCCGATAGATGTCACCGCAAACAACAGAAGTGACATCTGATGGAACATGAATGCAGAAGCTTGACAAAATGATTAATTGAGTGTAATCTACAGCTCTGGTCGATATTCCAGCGGAAAAACTAAGCCTACCCGACACTAACCTGACTTCTACCAAGCCCCAACCCGATGTAGACCTGACATAGACCCGTCATAAACTTTAAATTGACTCGACAACAGCACGACATTGGGTCGACATCAACCTTAAATTTGCCTTACATTGTTCCGACATCGGTTCGACTTGTCTGTTCGGGACCATTTTGCTGGGTTTCTTCCATACATCACTGTCGTATATCAAATGATAGTGAGTGACTCAATTGACAGTGACGATGAGCTTCGAATGAGAAAGGGGCTCTTCAAATTATGGTCATGTGAGAATTCGTTTTCACAGAATAGATTGAATGGTTGTATTGGTTCATCTTCAATCGAATGATATGAAAATTGACAGCACTGCTCATAGCAATCATAGAAGCTAAAGATAAAGTACTTTTTTGCTTCTCTTCTGCCTTTGTTCTCACCAAAAAGATCACCACATGTTCGACGGTTTTTACTATGAGTTGTGACAGTGTCGTATTTTCCTTATACACATTGTCACATTTTTCCTACACACATTGTTTGTCGAAGATTTCTGAACATCTCTTCCCCCATAGTGTGTGACGTACTAAATGGATAGCCCCTTACTCTTTCTTTGCATTTATCGTTTATCGTGTGAATAGGAAAACTAATTGAATGGAGCGGCGCTCTTGCATTCTGTTTGAACGAACTATCAAACATTTTGTGATAAGATTAAGATGAATTTAATAGCTTTGACGTTCCACAGCACTGCAGAAGATTAAGGAAAGTACTTGTTTCTACATGAAATTAATTCAATGCACAACATACATATTGCAGTGGTTTTAGTTTAAACTTGCAGCTGGCCATCTTAAGTTAAATATTTTCCAACCTTTCGTGAGAAAATTGGAAAAGATTAGTTTTAACAAAGTTTGCTCTAGAAAAACTAGATTGACGATGATAAAAATAGTTTATAATAATTCTTCCTATCTTTATGACGGCCCAAAGAAGGTATGCAATGTTTTTCGAAAAAACTAAAACCATAATTTGGACTATACAGTCTTATGTTTGCTACACCCAACCGGGAAATGTAAGCTTCTATTACAGATTTCATTTCGTGTAGGTTTTATACGAAAATATGCAGTCTAGAAAAACTTACTTGTACGCTGCAGTCCATTGTAAGAACTGCCATTACATTTGTTGTATAAAACATATGCAGAAGATGTAATAAATCCAACCATACGTTGGATGTAAGAGAAATTTGTTTTACGTGTATAAAAAAAGCAATTGATTTGCTACAAATTGTTAATAATTTTGCCCAACCCTGTGCTCTTCAGTCATAAACATATAATTTTTTATTCCTGCTGCTTTTAACACCGCTTATTCAGTTACTTAATTTGAAATTCCTACAATAAAACTTGCATTTTGTTCAGTCCAACTGTTGTGCAAAAAATCTAACTGTTAAATTTTGAACGAAAGATTTCTGTGGCAAATTCAAACAAATTATTTTGGAATGGTAAATAAAAATATTATGTATTTCTATAATCGAGATTAAAACCATGCTCATAAAACATTCTATTACTGCTAAACACTAACTAAAAGTACACGCATATAAAATATATAATCACTTCGTTCTGATTAGTAAACAGAACTATGCCAGCTGTTCACTCTTCGATTCGATTGGTTACCCAATTGGAGGTTGTTTGTGTGTGTGTGGATATGGGACCATTGTGGACTAATTAATAATTAATAAGGATTTCTTTTTCGTTAATTTGCTTCAAGCGTGTGACTTCATTGGAGGGGGAAAAATCAAGCATTCGATAAATATTGCAGAAGAGTACACGCGCAAAGTTGCGTGCAATCAATTGGTTTCCGTTTTCGCGATTTCTTGACGGGTTAGTTGCTTGGTTTTAGTTTGCACTGTGTTCGTCATTAGCAGGCTACTACCGCAATGGTTTTAGAATTTTGCGCAATGCCAATAATTTCGGATGCATGTACATTTTCGCACTGGAAGTTCGTGACTATCGTTTGCTTATTGCTACTACTCTAGATCGGAATTAAACGCGGGAAGACGGGTACGACCATGCAGTCATGCATTATTTGCTATCTATGTATCTTCAGAACGGTAGTGCCAATTTAGGTGAGCTGTGATTTCATCGGTTTCATCGGACATTTTACCCAATGAGCCAAGCAAGTTGATCGTCGGTTGTCGTTTGCTATGAAGGTATCGAAACAATACTATCCGTACTTGTACATACCCGAACCGTGGCAGTTTAATGAGGCGGCTAATAATTCACTGACGAGGTACGTACGGTGTTGAGTTCTATCGCCGGCGTTATCCGTTGAACCATAACCATTTCGGAAATAACATTTGTATTGAAAAATATACCATTCCGACATAACCACAAAAACATATAAATATACAAACACCCAAGAAGCGACAAACTGAAATCAACGTACCTGACTCATCGGGGAAAGGGAGCATCTTGGGGGAGCCCGATTCGTGGCGGAACGGTACCTGGTGCCGGGACTTTTAGCTGAGCACAAGATTCCGTTTCGCCCCGCCACTACGATTAAGACAAAATTCTCAAAACATGATCACAGCATTCAACACACAACTCACAAATGAAACATTACTTAAACTCTAATCACAATGAGACGCTCACTAGTATTTCAATCTGTACATCGAACATTCCAAATCAACTAGGAAACGCTACTTTACACTACCCAACTAAAATATTTACGTAACGGAATACGTTCGTAAATGAGGCACGCGAGTTTCGTCCAGGTCTCATGTGGATTTATCACTCAACCTGCTACCGTCACTTCATTCGCAAGGCAAGCACCCTTTCCTCGATGACCATAAATAAGGACAAAGCCAAGCAAGCCAAAAGCTTCCTAGCCCCGCTTTCCAACACACTCAAGAATGCCCTTTCCGTACCTCGAAGCGCACTCCTGGTTGAGCACGCTCTTCTCCAGCAGCGGAAAGCTCCGGTAGTATGGTGGTCGTTTGTCCAGAATCTCACTCGGTGGAGCCACCTCCATGTCGACGCTGCCGAGCCGTTTGTCCAGCAGCTTCTGGGTTTCCCTGGCCAGAATGCACGGTTCGTAGTTGGCGGTGCGGATCATACTTTCGCCACCATAGCGTTTCCTGCGGTGGAGTGCAACAGTCATTAGGCTTCGCTCCGTCTGAACCTACCGTTGGATGAATTACCTGAGAATTTTGATACGATTGTCAAACAGCTTCAGATTGTACTCCACGTCCCCGTTTAGACTGTCCAGCAGCGAACCATCGTCTCCCCACGCGAGCATGATCTTGTTATCGATCAACGTAACGAACATCTGACTCTCGAGGAATTGCGACAGAAACGGCCGATGGTGCTGCGGTTGATCCGAGAGAAACGACGCCTTATCAAAGTTGTGTAGAGATTCACGATTACTTAGCCAGTCTTCCCGGTCCTTAGTGGGTTAAAGAAAAGAAAATTAGTACAAGTTGCGCAGTAGACGAATTTCCTAGCTCACCTGATTCGGTAGAATCACAAAGTGTTCGTATGCGGCAAACATTTGGACGAACCGATTGAGGAAAATCTCCCGGATTGAGTTGTTCAGTCTCAGATCTTCGTAGTACTGTTCCAGAGTGTTGAGCGGTTGCTTTTGCTTTGTGCTGGGCATGACTTCGGTGGTACCGGAATCGACCTCGTCGCCACCGCTTCGACGGACAATGTCCACGATCCGTTGTCGGACGTCCGGTCGGGCGGGAACGGCCGTCGGTGGTAGCGGTATATCCGGGGAATTCGGGCGATCCCAATCCAGTACGTCGTGTAACGAGTGCTTCCGTCGGACGTGCATTCCCGAGGGCAGGGTACAGCTAGTCGTCATCATGTCATGATCCTTGAGGAGATTCTTTGGACTGAGAATAGAGGGTGGATCCAGCGAGCGATCCCGAGGCACTTGGTACTTGTCGAGAACGGCAGTGATCTCCCCGATGAAGTCATGTCGGTGTGGAAAGGCCGGCAGTTCTTCCGGAAGTTGGACTGATTTCTTGTCGACGTCTACGTAGCAGAGATTTGCTTCACTTCCGATGCGGACACTGCTATCGGAATCGGAATGTAGACCCATGACGAAGGGAACCGGAGCATCCAGGAAGTGATGGAGGGAAACGGGAAGGATCGGAGCGTACACGTGTTGCCATTGAAAGGGGAAGAGCAGCGAAGTGATGCACTCCGCTATGATGGTGAGTTTCTGATAGTCGGAAGATCGGAGGAGTACTTGGTTTTCGAGGAGTACGCAGGTGAACAGTTGAATTACGCAGTCTACGCTTAGGTAGGTGAACAGCAGTCTCAGTGGGAAATCCATGAAAGGCAGTTCGTCCTTGAGGGCAGGTCGTTGCAGAATGGTGGCTATAGGAGGTAGATGGGGATCATCCGGCGGTATGTATATTCGGATGGATTTCCCTGGAGGGGGTGTGGACACTTCGTACAGAATGTTGTACACGTAGCTCTCGAGACTCAACCGAGAACCGGGGTGGCGGGGAAGACACCTGCGAAATATTTAATAAATCAACAGTGCCTTACGATTAAATCACAATAACTTACTTGTAGAGATTCCTAAGATAGAGCTCAGCGACGTGAGCATACGGCACCTGACAGACGAGCGATACACTCTTCGCCACGTACAGTTTATCCTTGGTAATGTCGTAGTAACCAAGTGCGGACGTGTGAGCTTGTGCGGCTATCTTGAACTGTCGTGGCAAGGACCGACTGACGGGATTTTCCTTAACCCGTCGCAGCGTTCCTGGGGGAGGTTGCTGTGAAGTCGACAGTTCCGTTATGAACATCGACTGTAGCGTATGCATGGCATTGCAGATATCTCGGCTGCGGACTTCCTCGTAGAACACTAAGCTAAACCCGTAGCACCGCTTACCGTCCTCCCGGGTCGTGGCGAACGCGTGGAATCGTGGTTCGATATTGTGTTTCTGCGTTCGAAACCGCAGCCCTTGAGGTAACGAAAGCATGCAGATTCCATGTGCATCGAATGGATTCCACGCCACATGTTCCGGATAGTGTGCCAATGCTATACTCTTGTAGGCCCGGTCCAGTGGGGAGCAGTGTAGACTGTCACCTGTGCGGATAGAAAGCGACAAGAGAAAACGAAACTAATGAGCTATAATCGTAACTCGAGAGCGTTCTGTGTATTGTTGATGGTAATTTGATATTTGTCGGGCGTGTGTGTTTCAGTGTCTGTATCTGGCAACAAGTTTCAAGCTTGGGAAAACAGCAAACGTAAAACCGATTGAAAGTTTTTCCTTGTGGTTCTACTTCTACCGCAAGCCAGCCAGCACAGCAGCGGGTGGGCGTCTGGTGTGAATGGCGACTCAAATCTATTTGCTTATGGAAGAAGTGGTACTTGAGGACGCACGACGTGGGGGTCTTGCTGTTTAGAACTGTTTGCATCCAGTCCCCCCGGTAGTAGCAGGTCGTTGAGTGGCAATATTTATCGAGTAGAAAATGCAAGAATGCTTCTTGGCAGCCGTGCCGGCCTGGGGTCGGCTGTCCGTAGGTTGGCGATGAATAAACGTAATTGTTGTGAAACGTCTAATGACCGCCGCAGAGAACACATGTTCGCTTCGGTGCCTTTACCTACCGAGAGTGATGTAGCAACTTATTGAGGTTCGATATATCGGTTACTAAGTTGAACAAAGAATAAAGGTTCGATTGTTTGTATGGAAAGGTCAAATCGAGTGCAGCAGCTACTTAGCTTGATCGAATGCCCACCACTTTGAACGACTGCGAGCTAGGTACATTACATTGTCGGCAGAATTCATTATCGACCGTCACGTATCCGTCAAATCAAGATTTACGATGCAACGAAAACCAATTCACTTTCGGTTCGGAATACCCATTTCAGAGAGTGCTAATTTTCACGGTCTAAAAAGCTACTCAAAATTTTATCACATTTTACGATTGACAACATGACCAAAACGCAAAACCGTAATTGTGAGGCTTTGTGTAAATTAGCATTCGCTCTGTGACGGCACGGATTTTAATGTAGATACCTACAGGCTACATTTTGCAGTGTGTGAAATTGGCAGTCCCGTTATAAATATTGTTACTGCCGCGGCATCATGCGAATTGTCGTTCGAGATGCGATAGCACTGTTTTTGCTCGCTCTCTATCGCCGAAGATGACAGTTTGTTTTTTTCTGTTTGCTTGCGTGTGCGGTGAAACTAGCGGATCTTCGCGGTTTGTAATGTTTGTTTGTTTTCTGTCGCTTTACTGGTAGGTTTAACCCATCATGGTAGTCGTGCATTGTTGCTGAAGATTTCTAATACTGGATGATATTTTCAAAGTGCTTTATATTCTGGAACACCAGAACTATCATTAAATTGGATATGATTACGTTGTAAAATGTTGAATTATTTGACATGTCTTGAGTGTAAAAATATTGCTTCTGGGTCATCGCAAGCAAGCTTATGTTTAACGTACATATGACTGCTTCATGTGTACAATCTATTAATTTGTTTTACTTTGTTTTTGCTTGCGTTTATCGATTCTCAAACAACAGCCATATCGTAAAAAATGACGATATACCGAGAATCCGTTAAAGTTGTGGCCTTTTTACAGTTTGCGCAACCTGGATTTGTCACCCATTTTTGCGCTGCTCTGATATGACTCTAGAAAGCATACTGAAAGTAGGGTTGTCATAACCGGGTTTGCTTTTGTTGGCTACTCATAATTCGGCTACTCATAATTAGAAAATACGCAGTATTCCACCCATTAATTATGCAACCGCAATGGTTGAGTCCACTGCACAGGGTAATCAGTAAAACGGGAAACCGTGAAAACCGGGAAATAGCCGGGAACTCTAAGTCACCTGAAAAAAAAAACCGTCAATTTCAATATATTTTGTCCTCTCTGTGAAATTAAAATACAAACCCTTAAACTGGACTAGATTTTTAGGATAAAGTTGCTTTGAAGAGAACTTTTGAATTTTTTCTCCAAAAAAATCCTGAGAAGATTTTAGGGAATGCAACAATGTATTTCAGATAAAATTTCTAATGGAGTTTTGGGATGAACTCTAAAAGAGTTTTGACTAGAACTACAAGTCAACAGTGAGAGTTCAGAGTAAACATTTTTCTGAATCTTGCGAACAGCTTTAATTGAAAAGACTTATACGATAATTTTAAGGAAAACTTCAAGAGAATTTTCAGAAGAATTTAGAGTTCCATGATAATTAAGAGCAAAATGATAAAACAATTTGAGGAGAATTGCAAAAGAACTATACGAAGAAATCAAGCCAATATAATAAAAATAAATGAAAAGAAGGATTCTTTGACTTCTTTGAAATAAATCTTTAAAAGATAAGGTTGAATTCCATGATTTTTTGTTGAGTGTTCTGTAGAGAACTTCTGAACTGTTATAACGAAATTTTCTAGGAATTCCCAGAAAGAATCCCAAATTAATGTTTGAATACTTCTGAAAAGAACTCTGTGTAGGGAAATGAGTCTAATGGAAATGCCTTAGGTCAATCCAATGAAATCCTGTACAGAGTTTTGAACGAATTTTCAAGGCAGTTAAAACATAGACAAATTTGAACGCAGATCCAAATTCTAGATCGTGGATAATACCATTTAACCTTGGATATCTTCGGCTCAATCGTATTCGATTTTATGGTTAATATAAATGTATCGTATAACCGGGAACATTTCAAAAATTGCCTTTTTGCGATGTAAGGTGGACATAAAGGGCGAACACGAAATTATTGCGACACATTCAACAGGGCATAACTTATTTACCATTGGGTAAAAATCAACCAAATTTTGCACACTTTCTCATTGATGTGTATTGTGTACATGCTGTCAAACTCGAAGTCGTGTTTTTCGATTCAACGAAAATGGAGGTGAACCAACGCGAGTTGAGAGAACAAATTCTTTCCAAACACCTGGAATTTCTTGACCTGTCGCACCGGCAGTTGGGAAAAATGTTGAACATTCACCATTCAACCGTCTCCAGAGTGTTGAAGCGGTTCCAGGAGCGGTTGACGTTGGACCACGGCAAAGGAGCTGGAAGAAAACCGGGACCGGAGAACAAAAAGACGGAGGGAAAGGTGAAGCGGATGGTTAAAGTAAATCCCAACGTCTCAAGCCGTGATTTGGCTAAAAAGATCGGCATGTCGCAGAGCTACGTCCAGAATGCAAAGAAGAGAGCTGGACTACATACATACAAGGTACAGAACTTCCCAAACCGCGATGAGCGGCAACAATCGACGGCTAAAACTCGGGCACGGAAGCTCTACGAGAAGATGCTGACAAAATATGGCTGCTGTGTGATGGACGACGAAACGTTTATAAAAGCCGATTTTAAGCAAATTCCGGGGTTGGAGTTTTTCACCGGCAAGAGCAAGTTCGATGTGGACGACAAATTTAAGAAGAAGAAAATGTCGAAGTTCGCCTCCAAATATCTCATTTGGCAGGCTATCTGCTCTTGCGGACTGAGGAGTGAGCCTTTCGTGACAAAGGGCACAGTAAATGGCGAGATCTACAAATCTGAGTGCCTCGAGAAGCGCCTTTTGCCGTTCTTGCAGCAGCACGACGAAGCTCCGCTATTTTGGCCAGATTTGGCATCATGCCACTATTCTAAAAGTGTCCTGGAGTGGTATGAGGCCAATTCTGTCCATTTTGTTCCAAAGGACATGAATCCGCCAAACTGTCCGGAGCTGCGCCCGGTGGAGCAGTACTGGGCAATAATGAAGCGGGAACTTCGGAAGAGCAAGAAGACAGTCAAAGACGAGAAGGACATGTTAAGAAAATGGAAAAAAAAAACTGAGAAACTGGTACCGGATGACACTGTAAAGACTTTGATGGAGGGCATCAAGCGAAAATGCGTTCAATTTTACACTCAAGGCTCCATCGATTAACTTTTCTTTTGATTTTTGAAATTAAATATATGTTTAAAACTACCCTAAAATTTTGGTTTGATTCTAAACATTATAAGAAAATTGGCATGACATTTTCGGTGTCGCAATAATTTCGTGTTCGCCCTTTAATTAATACAAATTTCTAAAGTTCTATATAAACATTACATTTCATAAACGGTGATTAGCTTGTGGATTACTTGTGATAGGAGCTAATTGATCCTGAGCAAAATGATTATTACAGGGCTGGTAGCGAGGCACTTTTTGATGACTTGGCCACTTTTTTCAAGCCAGTCACTAAAAAGTCTGCTTTTTTAAGACCAAGTCACTAAAGTTACTTTTTCTTTTAATCAGCCACTTTTTTTAACTTTTTTTAGCGTGAATTTATTCCAAGAATGATCATTCTTCTTGCAGTGTGTAGGATCTGATAGTCCAATAAATGCCTACATTTTGTTCTAATTATCTATCAATTCGAAGTGTTGTGCGTCTATAGAGCTTATTAGCATTTAATCGTCTTTCTCTGTCTACAGGATGTCTACTCATTTTGCTAAATAAATTTCCCTGAGTTTTCCAGGTTTTTTCCAGAACTATAACGCATAATTTCCAGGTTTATAATAAGAAAGCTCAGATCTTTGTTTTCTTTTTTTTGCTGTATTGGCGAGATTTTTAGCACAATGGATGAACTAGCCGTGCATTCGTTTTACAATAAGATTCATTAAATGTATAAGTTTTACACTTTGAGGAAGTCTAAGATCATCAATTTCTTGAAGTTTCGTTTACCAAGTACAAGTTCAAGATATTGAAAAATTTCAAATTGCAGAAATTAAGAAAAAAATTAAATGATTTATTTCAAGTTTGTAATAAACTTTATGGAAGATTACAGATCTTTTTTTTTTTTTTTTTTTTTTTTTTTATTTTTTTTTTTAACTCTTTATTTGTTCCAAATTCAAAATAAATTACATTTCATTTTAACCTAGGTGCTCCAGTTACTGCAGTAACGTACCAGCCTTAATTGTTATGATATATATCTAAGTGTTTTTACATTGTTCATGTCTTGGCAATTCAGTATTTTAAACAGGTTTTTTAACCTGCATGTCAGTATAACAATTGATATCTTAAAACTAAATACTAAAACTAAATCTTATCTAAGTATAAAGGGAATTAATCGTTGCAATTGAGGATTGCAACGATTTTTGCCTGAAATTATT